TTGGACTTTTCTAAGAGGGTTAGGAGTATGGCTGGGTGGTAGAATACTTGCCTAGCATGTGCAAGACCCAGGGTTCAATCCCAGTCCAGCTAAACACAATATAAAATGCTTAGTAATGAAGAACAAGCTCAGTGAAATCACAGTGCACAAGATCCATATCCAAACCTCAGGCATGCTTCAACACACTGGCAACAAGCAATCAAAAATATACTTACTTTACACCAAAACCCATCATAGATCTTGCAACATATATGCAAACTTTGTATAGTGCATGCCAAAATAGTAAGGAAAACCAAATACCTAAATGGCCAGAGATGCTCCAGCGATGAGCTAAATACAGTATTGTCAAGCTTTCAGTTCTTCCATATATACAGCTCTTCCGCTCCAAATGAATTCCTCAAATCAGCACATGATCCGTCTCAATAGGGGCACGGTGTTTGTACAAAGCAACTAGCTGAGGGCCCGGCGAGCACAAACAGGCTGACCTGAATTCAGTGCCCCAACACCCAGGCAAAACCCAGCTGCAGTAACCAGGTGTAGTAACATACTTATGTCACCTAGCACTGGAGGACAGAGACAAGATCCCTGGAGTAAACTCTAGGGTTACTGAGAAACTCTGTCTCAAGCAATAGTGACGATGGTGCAGACGGTGAGAGGGGAAGATGCCTGACGTCTACTTCCGAGCTCTGAATGTGCACACACAGGCAAATTTATCTGTACACACATCAACATAAACACACACACACACACACTCAACCTCCCCCAAACCCCAACAATACACAAAGACACAAACATGAAAAGGCCTCACAGAAAGTCATTGGTTAGCAAGTTAATCTTAAAACGCAGTTTTAGAAAGGAAGGTTCTAAGAGAGGTATAGGGCATGGATGGACAGTGCTAACCCCAAAAGTCATGGGCTAGTAGCAAAAGTATAGCACCAGGTGTGACGTAGCCCTGTGCCTTCAATCAGGAAGGCCACAGAGGTCTCCAAATGGGCACAGGTTATTGTCGTTGCCCGTGGTAGCCCACTATAAGTCCTTGGAAAGATTCTTTCCTGTTGCTGAACATCCCACACACTTTGGCTGCAGCCCATTGAGGAACCAATCTGAAACCAACCAGGAAAATTCCCTTCAGGTGGCAGCTTTCATGGTACCAGAAGGTGCTATGCAGACTCTGGGGAGAGAGACATAATGCTATTGTCCATCCGTCAACTCTCTCTGCTACAAACCACATGGGCATGGGCATAACAGTAGCATGGTGGTTATAGAAATAACCAACTCTTCTCTGATTGGATTTGAGGTCTGCTCCACAGGAGGGAATTCAAGCCTGGTATTGCAATCCGGTTCAAAAGTTCCCTTTAGGGTCCGAGGGTGGGACCTGCTATTGTTGTTTTGCTAAAGGCTCCTGTTGTGAATTTGCCTTCCAAATGTTCGTGTTTATATCTGGAGATGTGGCTGCTCCCAACCTTAGTCAGAAAACCTTCTTGTCCCAGTGGGCAGCAGTAAATAGTGAGATTCACGACTGTAAAGGGCTGTGTATTAGAATGTCTAGTTATAAATGGGACAAGCTTATGAACCACACTATCAAGAAGACTTAAGGACCATTAAAAAGAAAGTAAGAGCCAAAAAATACGGAGGCCCGCTGTGGGGTGCTGTCTTCTGGCATGACATGACTGTTGTGTTCATGAACTCTCAGTGCTGGGGTTACCTCCAAAAGACATGCACAAAATTAAAACAGCCAAATTCCTAGCACATGTGATTGATGATCTCTGGACCCCACCACCTGCTGTGGGGAGCTATGGGCTGTGGAGAGTAGCAATGGCAGGAAGAGCCTTGGGTTTCTGAAGAAGAGGATTCTGGGGAGTTAGCTATGCTCCAGTGAATGGCACATGCCACACACATGGCATGAACTGGATTTAAATAACTTAAAATAACAACAACCATAAATGCACACACATAAAATGCACAAAAGAACAACAAGAAAAAGACTGTTGGGGGAGGGAAGAGAGATGTGGGAAAAATAAGGAAGGGAACATGGGAATGAGCAGCTAAAACTAAGAAACATGTAAGAGATCTTAGGGGAACCAACAACAGCAGAAGCATTGTGAGAGAGTGTGTGTGTGTGTGTATGTGTGTATGTTTGTTTGTATATATGTATGTATGTATTTATTATGAAATATAAATTGGAAATACCAAATTACAGGAGATAAAAAAGTCCCAAGTAGATACCTCTCACCACCAAATTAAACCTCCAACTACAGGATTAAGTTAAACCTTACTGAGTTTTGACAAAAACTGCCAAAAAGCCATAAAATAACTCAGGTTATTTCCAAAGCTGTTGATTGCTCTCCACACACTGACATTAAGGCCATACTGGTGCAAACATCAGTTATATAACTGAAGTTACATAACAAGAAGAAGCTGAGCTGTTGCTTGCCTACAGCCTTCCCTCTACGGACTAGTACCCACAGAACTGGAAGGTACTCTACACATGTCCAGAGGTCAAAGGTCATCAACAATCCAGATGCAGACCTGTCTCAGTGTTCTGTTACTGTGAAGAAAGTCAATGACCACAGCAACTCTTAGGATGGACAGCTTTTATATGTGGTTGGCTCATAGCTTCAGAGATTTAATTCCATTGTCATCGATGCATGGAGCATGGTGCCATACAGGCAAATATGGTGCTGGAGAAGTAGCGAAGAGGTTTGCATCCAGATCTGTGGGCAGAAGAAAAAGAAATTCAGGGCTTATCATGGGATTCTCAAACCTCAAACCCTACCCTCAGGAATATACTTCCTCCAACAACTTCTGAATTCTTTAAAATAACGTCACTCCCTGGTGACCAAGGCATTCAAACCTATGAGCGTATGGAGGCCGTTCTTATTGAAACAACCACAAAATCCTTTGGTCTACACTGGTGACCTGTCCCCATGACACGTTCATACAATAGTGGCATAAAATTTGTGTGAGTAACCGAACACCACCTGGTTGTTTATAACACCCACACTAGGAGAGGGAATTCATCCCTGACTCCTCAGATGGTCAAGAACCTGAGACTAGAAAGTCCAGGGGCCTAGGGGCAAACAAATACCTCAGGTCCTCTGAAGGAATGTGGCAATGCAGTGACTTGAAGGCATTCTGCTGTGCTCACAGAACAGCGTCTTGTCAGCCATCGTCAGAGAAGCTTCTTCCTGCAGAAAATGGGAACAAATAGAAACCGCAGCTGACAATGTACAGTGTGAGAGACCCTGGAACACCCAGAACTGAAGGGAACGCCTCCACCAAACCCTCCACTGGGGCTCAGGGAGCATTGGGGAAGGGGCGACAGGAGGGTTGTGGGGGAGAGGGGAAGGGAGACACCAAGGAAACACAACAGGCTGAGGCACGGCTGCACTCACTCAGGCTGTGACAGCATGCACAGAGCCTGCACAGGTCTGAGGAGGTGGGCACAGCCCTGTGTGTAAGACAGGAGCATCTACCACTGTCAGCCGCTTCCAAAGGGAAAATTAGCTTTCTCCAGCAGGATCTCACTGCCCATGAAATCCAAACATAAGGGCAGACCCCATGCCCAGCAGTACATGGCCAATGCTAAAGAATTCAGTGCTATTTTAGAGGATTATTGCCTCATAATCTTTGCGTGGAAATGATTTTTTTCCCTCACAGGTCTTTTGTTTATCAATTATGGTTTGGTGCGGGATTGGCCAGGCAGGCAGTATAGGCAGAAAAGCCAGACAGAAAGTAGGGGTGGAGAAAAGAGACTGGGAGTATTCTGGAAGCAGAAGCTCTCTCTCAGCCACTCCTGCGCAGATCACTGAAGAAGCAACATGTAAGCTGCCCCCGCTGGAAAAGGTACTGAGCCATTATGGCTAACATAGATGAGAATAATGGGTTAATATAAGTTATAAGAGTTAACAAGAAGCCTGACCTAATGAGCCAATCAGTTTATAACCTGATGTAGACTCCGTGTGATTTTCCTTGGGACTTGCTGGCTTGTTGGGGTACTGGGCGGGACAAAAACCCCAACAAGCCAGCCCTCACTACAATGGTTTGTGATTTTTCTGGGTTTTGTGGGATTTCTGTGTGTGCAAGTATGTTGGAGTGAAGCACGAATAACAAAAACTCATAGACAAAAATTGGGGTTCAACCTGAAGACTGGAAAAGCAAAACAGCCACTTTTATTTAAACAACTGCAAGCCCTTTGCTCTTCGATGGTGACCCGCTTGCATGAAGCACGGCTACAACAGTGGCACAGATTTGGGGAGTAACCAACCACTGTTCTGATGCTCATAAGGCCCACACTGTGGGGTGGAGTTCATCCCTGACACTGCTCAGATGGTCAAAAGCTTGAGAGTAGATATGCAAGGAGCATAGGGAAAACCAAATACTAGTGATATTTTATTTATATTTTAATACATAAAGCTTGCCTGAAGATCAGAAGGTAAAACTAAGCCACTAGAGGCCAGGCAGTGGTGTCACACAGCTTTAATCCCAGGATTTGGGAGACAGGGGCAGATGGATCTCTGTGAGCTCAAGACCACCCTGGGCTACACAAGATTAATGAAGAAAGAGATCCAGGTCTCTGGATCAGGCCTTTAATCTCAGTACTAGGGAGTCACACGCCTTTAATCCCAGCACTAGAGAGGAATATAAGGCAGGATGAGACAGGAACTCGCTCTCTTTCAGAATGAGGATTTCTTGAGGGTAAGAGCTCTCTAATGGCTTGGCTGCTTTGTTTTTCTGATCTTCAGGTTGAACCCCAATGTCTGCCTCTGGGCTTTTATTATTTGTGCTATATTTGATGCCATCATTTGGGGGTACAAATTCATGAAAAAGCCATTTGCCTGAGGCTTTATAGACACCTGAACCAGTCAGAGCTGCACGTGGGACTCCCGCCTGGGCAGCACATGAATCTCCAGCCCCACCCAGCCACGCTTTCTTTTCTTTTTACCCCAAGCTTCTCAATCCCCTATGTGTTTTTCAGACGAAGAATGCTGGCGCTCTCTCTCTCTCTCTCTCTCTCTCTCTCCCAGAACCCACGGCTGCTGCCTTGAAATCCAGTCAGGCCTTTGTTGTTCTCCGCAGGAACAATCAGCTTCACATCTTCATCAACATTGTCGGTAGATTTGGTAAGACAATTGGGAATTCTTAAAGGGAGGGATTCATTAAAAGAGGGAGTTTTCCCCATATTTAAAAAAAATGAGAAAACCATTATAATGGAAGGGTTTGGATCTCTGTATGATAATATGCCAGATAGTTTGAAAATGAAACGATTAAATGAGAGGATAACTGATTTATATGGGCTTTATATAATGTCAGTTGTAGACATTATCAGCTTTATCATTTTTGTCTTATCACTAAAAATGTTGATTAATCTGATTGCTAAGAAGCAGGCCTCAGAGAAACCTAATAAAACAGATCACAGGGAGATTCAAATCCAGACAGAAGAATTTAATGGAGAGCCAATTTCAGCATTGCATTATAAGGATAGAGAAGAACAGCCTAAGTTTTCCAGACAACAACCTTATTATATCCAGTAACCTTACAGGAATTGCCAAACAGTAGAGGCTCTGCAGCAGCTAGCTGGACTCCTGTGCCGATGCTAGATTTAAGGAGACTCAAGGAAGCAATAGTCTCAAACAACATGCATTCACCTTTTGTGAAGCAAATGTTAGACTTTGGTCAGTTTGTGATAGAATTATCCCTAAGGATAGATTTAGTTAGAGGTGTTTTATAGCCTGGTCCACAATTACAATGGAGTACCTGGTTAAGAGAAGAAGTTAAGATTATTGAATAATGGAGTAAAGCTAGAGGTAGGAAAATCTCCCAAAATCAAATTCTTGGAGGAGACTATGCTACTATTAAAAGACAAGCTGAATATGACAACCACACCCTGAATTTATGCTGCGCAGCAACTTTGAATGCTTGGGACAGAGCTGGAGAAAAACAAAAGAAAGTTGAGTCATTTACTAAAGTTATACAGGACCCAAAGGAAGACTTTATGAATTTCTTACAAAGACTGACTTCATCAGTAAATAGAATGATAACAAATTCAGAAGCCAGACAAATAATCGAACATATAGTTTTTGAAAATGCCAATTCTCTATTTAAAAAAAAGATAATTAGGCCATTAAAGGCAAGGTCAGCACCTTTGGGGGAATGGATCCGAGATACAATTAACATTGAATCTCGTAAACATAATGGTGCATGAATAGGAGAGGTGATTTCCAGTGGGTGATTTCCAGTGGGTGATTTCCAGTGGTTTGAGAAAAAAATCAAAATGTCATATGTTATATTTGTGGCAAACAAAGTCACCTTAAAAAGGACTGTAGACAGAGTGTTCCTAGAATCAGCATTTTTTCTAAGAATAATCCATTCAGAGTGCCCCTTCCCTTCTGGATTATGCAAAACCTATGGCAAAGGCAGTCACTGGACTAATAAATATTGGTCAAGGAGGAATTGGGAAACTCTGTGTGGGGCCTCTCGCTGGCCCCTGTGCCAAATCCAGTTCAGACATTTCCTGCCACTGTAAAGGAAACTCCTTCCCAGAGCAATTAAAATACCTAGTGCCTATGTTAAGAAGTCACACTGCTCTGGATAAGGGAACAGCTACAGAAGAGAGAACAAAACTTCAGGAGAAACCATAAAGCCAGTATTATGACAAACTTTTACAAATGAACAAAGACCAAAATTAAAAATACAAATAAATCATGTTGTCATTGAAGGTCTAGAAGACACAGGTGCGGATGCAACAATAATTTCATCAAAATCCTGACTTCAAATTGGCCTCTTCAGGATGTAAATCTTCAGTTTTCAGGGATCAGAACTTTATCTCAGGTAAAGCAGTTCATGAGATGGGTCACATGTATAGGGCAAGAAGAACAGAGAGGGACATTAAAACCATATGTGGCGGAAATAGCAATGAATTTGTGGGGACATGATTTGTTATAGCAATGTAATACTCAGATTAACATTCCCCCAATCTTAGAAACAAACAATAAATTAATGTATGCTTCTGGGAAATATATTGGAAGGTATTGTAAAGAATAGTCACCGATCATTCAGATTGTACAAGAACAGGGCACAATAGCTGCTGATATTTCAAAGGCACCAACAGTTCTACCTTTAAAATGGTTGGCAGACAAACCTGTATGGGTTAAACAATGGCCTTTAACAACAGAAGAATTTCATGCTTTAGAGCAGCTGGTACAGGAGCAACTCGATGTTCATCATATTGAAGAATTAACCAGCCCTTGGAATTCTACTGTATTTGTTATTAAAAAGAAATTTGGAAGATGGAGAATGGTATCAGACCTAAGAACTGTTAATAAGGCGATTCAACCAATAGGTTCTCTACAGTCTGTATTCCTTTGCCTTCTCTATTGCCTAAAGGATGACCTCTTACAGTTATTGATTTAAAAGATTGTTTCTTCACTACACCTTTGCAAGAAAAAGACAGAGAAAAATTTGCCTTCACAGTACCTACTTACAATAATTCTCAGCCTGCTAAAAGATTAGAAGTGGATTATTTCCCCACAGGGAATGTTAAATAGCCTCAACCTATGCCAGTATTTTGTAAGCCATCCATTGGAAATAATACATAAGCAATTTCCTGAATCTATAGTTTACCATTATACACACAACATTTTTACTATCATATTTAAATGTAGATACCTTAGAAAAAAATGTTTGAAGAAGTAAAGAAAATTTTGCTTTGTTAGGGATTAGAAATTGCTCCTGAAAAACTACAAAGAGGTGAATCTATTAATTATTTAGGTTAAAAAAATAAGTTTGCAAAAAAATTAGACCCCAAAATGTGCAAATTAGGAGAGATCAATTGCAGATTCTTAATGACTTCCAAAGATTGCTAGGAGACATTTTCCATACATAACACTATTGGAATAGGCCCTGATGACATGATTAATATAAACAAAACCTTAGATAGTGACAAGGACCTAAATAGCGCTAGGGAGTTATCAGCTGAAACTAAGAGAGAATTGAGTTTGATTGAAGAGAAATTACAGAAAGCATATGTGAATTGTATGAATCTATATCTTAACTGCATTCTGGTCATATTACGCTCCAAATATTCCCCTACAGGAATTACAATGCAGAGGGAACATATTATCTTAGAGTGGATCTTTTTACCACATAAACTGAGTAAAAAAAAATTAAAACTTCATGTGGAAAAAGTCTCTGAGTTAATTCTAAAAGAAAAATTGAGACTTCATCAATTAGCAAGAATAGACCCAGCAAAAATTTTAGTACCTTCTAATAATGGAAAATTGACAAATTATGGGAAGAAAGTGAACCTTGGCAAAGAGCTTGTAGTAATTATTTTTGGGGAGAGATTAACAACAACTACCCCCAAAACAAAAGAATTCAGCTTATAAACTGCATCATCCCTCGCATTGTACAAGGCACAACAATAACTGGAGCTGCTATATTCTATACCTATGCAAATAAATCAGGAAAGTCAGGCTACAAATTAGAATATTAAGTAAAATGGGACAAAGCCTTTATGATTATGTCCAAAAGTCAGAATTATATGCTATTCTCATTGTACTATGGAATTTTGTTTTGTTTTGTTTCTTGAGACAGGGTTTCTCTGTAGCTTTGGATTCTGTCCTGGCTAGCTCTTGTAGGCAAGCTTGGCCTTGAATTCACAGTCGACCTGTCTCTGCCTCCGAGTACTGTGATTAAAGGTGTGCGCCACGACTGCCCAGCTGGTACTAAGGGATTTCAAAGAATATTTCAACATAGCTATCAATTCACAATATGCAGAAAAGTGGTTTCTTGCATGTTGAAACCACTGAACATATACCAGAAGATGCAGAACTGACTTTATTTAGTTACAAGAGATAATCAAAACTAGAAATCACTCCAAATACATAAAACACATCCAATCCCACACAGATCTGCCACATCTTCTAGCACAAGGCAATACAGAAATTGATCAATTATTGATTGGAAATGTGCTGAAGGCCTCAGAATTTCATTTAAAAAATCATGTCAATAACAGAGGTTTTTTTTTAAAAAAAGTTTCCCTCCTGTGGCAACAAGCCAAAGAAATCATAAGGAAATGTCCTACTTGTTCTTTACACAATCAAACACCACTACCTGCAGGAAGTAACCAAAAAGATACTCAAAGGAATGTAATCTGGCAGATGGATGTGCTCCATTTTGCAGAATTTAGAAAACTAAAATATGTATTCCACACCATTGATATCTATTCAGGTTTTCAATGGGCAACTGTTTGAGTTCAGAAAAGGCTGATTCAGTAATCACACATTTGCTAGAAGTTATGGCCATTATGGGTACACCTGTACAAATAAAAACACACAATGCCCCACATATGTCTCTAAGAAAATGAAAATTTTTTGCTTATCATAAAATAAGGCATATTACAGGCATATCACACAATCCTACAGGGCAGGTAGTTATAGAAAAATCAAACTGAACTCTAAAGGATATGTTAATTAAACAAAAAGAGATGAGGAATACCCCCAGAAATATATTGCATAATGCTTTATTAACTTTGAATTTTCTAAATGCTAATGATAAAGGAACAACAGCTGTAGAAAGATATTGGATAATAAAAGAATTACAGAATTAAATCAGCTTATATACTTTAAAGATGTACTGACACCAGAATGGAAAACAGGAGATGTGTTACATTGGGGAAGAAATTTTGCTTTTGTTTCCACAGGAGAAGAAAAGGTACAGATACCATCAAAATTGATAAAGATTCAATTTGAACAAGAGACACTTGAGAAGAGATGAAACTTAATCAAACAGCATTGTCATTTAATTTAAACTAATCTATAAAACTAACAAATGTTTTTCATTTGATCAGATATAACTTGTCAAAAGAGAATTTCCCCAAAATTAGGGTTGGGGAAAAGTTTTGTTTCTGTCTTTTCAGGAAAATAAAGGTATCCAACTAAGGAATTTGGAGACTACTGGACAAATGAGACATCTGAAGAAAAATCATCCAGAAAAAAAAATGCCTCAAAAAAGGAATAAATTGGCCTAATGATATATCACATTTCTAACAAGGTAAAATTTCATAAGTCTTCCCAAATGTTTGGTTCTGCTGTTTTATACAGACATATAATGCAAATGGTCTTTTTTTTTGTAGTCCTAGTCTAATTACAAATTAAAGCTAGCCTTGGAGTTGGAGTGTGACTCTCTTCTTCTCTAAACCCAAGTATGCTTACTAAAGGGAAATTCAAAATCTGTCTTGTGCCAGAAGATATACCTGATATGGGACAAAAGAAAAACCAAAATTTAGGACTATTTTACTGCTATTAATCTCATAATCCTTTGGTTTTATGTTGACCCTTTAACAGCTTATCTTAAGGAATAAGATTTATTTTATATATACATATAAACCTTTGTCATGATATTAATGATCATATAGAGTACTAACCAGTTCTAGAGAAAAGCTTTATCTACCTTCCTATACATGGTTTAGTGTTCGAGTCTCTATCAGTTTTCTGCAGTGAACTATTAGCACACCTAACAGTGAGGAGGATGAGGCCCCACGACATTTCCTCCAAGGCTATGATAACAAACACAAACTGCTCAGAACAGTTTCAAGGTGGCTGGCTAAGATGATCCAGCCTGACAGACAACTCTAGCCAGGACTTGAAATAAGACCTGCACTTTCTTTTTACACAGAGACTAGACAAAAAAAAAAAAAGATTTAGCTACTTCTCCCAGAACTTGACAATTAACACAAATTTCTTTTTTCAAGATCCCCTAAAGATACCATCACTCCCAGGCAGCAGGAAGTAAATTTAAAAATATAATACCCACATTCCCAAGAGGTAGGGTGTGTGGTTTTTGGTGGTTCAACAGGTTATGGATATTTGTTATTGTATAGGGGGATTGGTTACAAGTTGTTATTGGTAATGGTCAGAAAAAAAGCTAAACAAAGAAAATTAGATTTAAGGTTCTTGTTTTTAGAAGAAAAAATGGAGACATACATGATAGGAAAAAGAGTAGATTATTGAATCTATTCTGAAAAGAAAAAAGGGAGGATATAGATATGATAATGTAAAAAGGGAGGATATGATATGACAATGTAAAAAGGGA